ACATTCTTATTATGTGAAGCCCCATGCAGTCATGGACAGCACCCCTGCTGCCAGCTCAATCCCCAGATGGCAGCCAAAGATAAATCTGGAAACGAGGGGGTGTGTATGCGTGTGCATGTGCTAGAGGTTGTGGCTGAGTATGTGTGTGTGTGTGTGTGTGTGTGTGTGTGCGCATTGGGGGGCAGGAGCTGTGTCTACGCACTAACTTTAACTTTCCTTATAATTTCCAGGTGCTAATTGTAATGTGTAAGTACACCCTTACTCTACATGTAATATTTAGGGATGACTAGCAATGACTATTCCATTTCATGACTACTTTTGAATTCTTAAGATTTATTTTTACTCCAAGGCTGTTTTACTGCTTTGAAATGAATGATACATCACTGAAAATATAAATTAGACTGTACCCTGAAAATGAGGCAGATTTATAAACTGTTTCATGGAGGTCAAACTGAAAACAAAATATAATAGTGGCTCTTTCATGGAAACAAGAATTCCAAGTTTCAGTTAGAAAAAAGTTTAAGAATATGGTGTGATACTAAAACAACCATTTAAAATTAAATCCACAAACACTGTGAAACTGAGAGCTGGTTTTTCTAGGATGAAATTAAACAAAAAAGATGTAGAAATAACCCAACAACAGAAGATGACTTCTCTAAAGTTTTTCCAATTGAGAATACTGAGTGATTTGGTAACTGTACAAATATTATAACACTAAGGACACTAGCCAGCACAGGTATAGATAATGAATATAAAAAGGAGACTTTCTTTTTGGGTAGTTTGAATATTTTAATGATGCTATCTTTTCCAGAAACCATGAGAAGTCTGTCTGAGGAGGCATGGCATTGTATATTTACAAATACAAATGTTATTTCGGAGGAAGTTGTGTTAATGGAAGCCCTAGCTATTAGTTTTGGTGGAAGAAAACAAAAAACAGTACCAAAAAGAATGATATATTTGTAAATGAAAAACAACACCTATGATTTTACTATTATTAATGTGTCCAAGAGCAAACTAGGGTCCTAAAAAGACTTGTAGATACAATTTGTGAAGATTTGATAGATAGCTATTTAACACATTCCCAAATACAGTCTGTGTTCAAGTTCTACATACTTTTTGCATGATTTATTTTGAATAACAAGAAGAAGAATATCCAAAATCAAAGCCAAATAGAAAAGCAGGTACAATATCTTTAGAGTTTAAGGATGAAACAAATGGTCAGGTCACTGAACACCATGTTCCAAGTTCTTCAAAGAAGTTCCAAGCCCACAGTGACACACGTAGAAAACCTTTGCCTTGAATATGTGTGTTGGAAGCAGAAGAGAGCTGGTATAGAGACTGATTTGATTTATTTATTTAATATATTTTTTTCATTTCAGAGCAAGCGAATTTAACCTTTTCTTGAGGGTTATGGCATTTATTTATATATACTTTTTATTTAAAAGCTGTTGAAAGGTATTCCAGATGTAAAAATACTATACAAAATGTAAACAAAATCATATACAAACATATATTTGTATGTGTAAAGAGAGAGAGAGAGAAAGACAGTGAACTAATGTGTAATAAGAAAATTAAATTTACTTTCTCTTTGTAGCTTGAGATGTCTAAACAACACCTCCATTCATTGTTTTCCATGCAGTATTCCTAAGATTTAACTCTAGAGAATGATTCCAGAAATGTCCCGAGGAGACAAAGCTCTGGGCAGAGATAGGTAAGATTTAAGCTAAGTTGCAGTGAACATGGGAATGTAAAAGAGAGAAACATAGGTTTTAGTTCCAACCACATTAAATGTGTGCTGGTCCCAGAGACCTGTCACAAGGGGTAACCAGTAGACAAAACCCAGTCCGCTTGTGCTATTTATTATCATCTTAGAAACAGTAATTTTATGTTATACAGAGCAAATAACTGACATCTGCATTTTGGTTTGGGATTATATTGGTTTCTTTGGAGAGTAATTGTACAAAATCTGTACTAACACATACATACATGTTAACCCTGGATGTATACACACATCAAGGGTTAACATTTGGCTATATACCATTACAAATCAAAACTATTTCAGGCAATGCGCTACCCCAGCTTCTTCAAGAAAGTCTGATCATGGTGATTTCTCACTTCGGTGGTCTGAGACTGTGTCACTGACAATTATAAGTGTACTGAGGTTACCTTGGGAACGGAACTGTGGCAGCACGTGGCTTAAAAACGAAGCTTCACAGCATCCTCCTTTTTTGACCTTCTTCAAGGAAGTCTCTGGTGAACGTATCATTTAGAGCAGTGGTTCTCAACCTTTTTTCTGCCAGGACTCACTTGCAAAGATCCATTGCTTGTCCCAACCCACACCCCCCTGACTCTGCTGGTGCCCGACCCACAGTCCTCTGCCTGCCCCAGGCAGCACCTTGAGGGGGTGTAAGTATTAATGTAGGTATTAATGCTAGTGTCCCTCACTTCTAACCCACAGCCTCCTGCCCCCCCCCCCAAAACCTGCCGGAGGTGGCCCCCAGTTGCCCCCATCCCATTTGGGCCAGAGCATGGTGGCTGCAGTGGGTCCAGCTCATGCGGGCAGCAGCAGAGTGAGTCCAGCCCTGGTACAGGCTGGAGGGAAGAGAAGGAGAGGCCTGTGGCACCCCCACTGCCCTGGGCTGGGGCTGCCGTGCCATGCCAGTCAGCCTGGTCATGTCCCCTTCTATCCCCCAGCATCTCCTTGCTGCCCTACCCCTGTGAGCACAGGCACAGGCCCCACTGCCACCAGCCTGGCCATGCAGCTCTCTCCCACTGTGCTGGAAAGGGCAGGCGTCTTCCTGCTGCCTCTCTGCCCTGCTGCAGCTCGTGACCCTTTGAAATATTCTTGTGACCCACTTTTGGGTCACCACCCACAGGTTGAGAAACACTGATTTAGAGTGAGATCAGACTGATTTGGTCACTAACATTCATTGAAACTCCAGGTCCTGAGTCACTGAATATTGGAGAATGACATGGGTGTCATATGGTACCAGATCACTGAAAAACTGAGCTTTGGGTGTGGCTTCCTGTCTATTTATCACAGTGGCCTTGTCTCTTGGGGTGACCCAAGAGAAATTTGGTCACTTGACAGTCGGTGAAACCGCTGGTCCTTATTCAGGTATGATGCTTGTTACTGAGCTTTGGGTCTGTCAGCACCCTTTCCCAGCTCCCTTAGGATAGACTCCATGTCCTTAGGATGTGGCACATGGGGGTGACCAGTGATGTATTCAGTCTCTATCGAATTCCTTATTATTTATTTCATTTCCATATTTTATGATTCCCAGTAGGGTATTTTACTGGAACCTACATTACTTACCACAAATTGGAGGGGGGAGGACAGGAAGGGATGGGCGATGATTTAGCTTGCGTTGAAAACTGAAAATAAGGAGTCACTTGTAGCCTCATGCAAATACCCTTCTGACTAGGACAGCGGTTTGCAACCTTTTATCATTTGCAGACCCCTGAAACAATTTTGAATGGAGGTGCAGACCCCTTAACTTGTAGGTGTGGGTATTCACATACTTTTGATTAATCATTTTTTGTGGACCCCAGGTGTCCACAAAACACAGGTTGAAAACCATTGATCTAGGAGACTAGGACCTCTTTTTGGCTAGCTCTGTGATTCTCAACTTTTTTAGGCTCAAGGGCCCCTGCACAGACTCAAGACCCCCCCTCAGAAAATGCCAGTTTTTTGTTCTGACTCTTTCCTCTGAACGCAGAAAAAATAATACAGCTGTTTTCCTGTTGCAAAGGACTCCAAAAGCCCACAGCTACAGGTTCCTATTGGAATCCTCCCAGGCTTTATATGATGAATCACATTTGCACAATGAACCATGCTGCCTCACCAAGTACCTGTGCGGTATGGCACTCCGCAGTGGATCTTGAGGCCTGCCCCCTGGGTGCTGTGGCACGTTGGTTGAGAAGCACTGGGCTGGCTTCTCCTAGTCAAGCTGGAGAAGGGATGCTCTTGACACTTCCCTGGAGGCAGTAAAACATAGGGGGAGGGGGATGTTTAATAATAGCAGCCTTCAACTACCTGAAGAGTCGTTCCAAAGAGGATGGAGCTGGGCTGTTCTCAGTGGTGGCAGATGACAGAACAAGGAACAACGGTCTCAAGTTGCAGCAAGGGAAATTTCGGTTGGATATTAGGAAGACTACTACCCTCATTACGAGGGTAGTGAAGCACTGGAACAGATTACCCAGAGAGGTTGTGGACAGTCCATCCTTGGATGTTTTTAAGACCTGGCTAGACAAAGCTTTGGCTGGGATGATCTAGTTGGGGATGGTCCTGCTTTGGGCAGGGGGTTGGACTTGATGCCCTCCTGAGGTCCCTTCCAACCCTCCTTATTTATAGTTAGATGTTAGGAAAAACTTTCTCACGAGGAGCGTAGGAAAACACTGGAACAAGTTGGGGAAAGAGGTGGTGGCATGTCTGTCCGAGGTTTTAAGACGGAGGTAGACCAAGCCTTGGCTGGGACGGTGTAGTTGGCGATGGTCCCGGACACGAGGTGACCCCGAGGTCCCTTCCAGCCCCCCTTGCCTACGGCTCCCCGAGCACGTGGCAGGGAAAGGCGAGGTGGGGTGGAGGAGCGGCTGCGGAGGGCAGAAAGGGCGGCCGTGCGAGGGGCGGGGGGAGCTGCCA